CTATTCTGGATATATATGGTAACACAACTCAGCAGAAATAAGAAGTAGCAATGATCTGTTGTGGTATTTTAGAATCAAATCTTTTGTAACACAACGAGGGTTGCCTCAACTAGTGGCTTTATTAGTGTAAGAGAACGTCAGCTGCATGCATTGCGATGGTAACAAGACAACTGTATGATTTGCCTCTATTTATGTCTGTTGTCAATGTCATCACTGTTGTATGTAGGCAAAAATAAGATCCAGAATACAACTCTTTCGAAAAAGAAAAATGAAAGTGAAAATATTAACACGAACAGGGGAGGGGAGGATGGGCAATGGTGTTAGAAATGGTCGGAAGTGAGTTCAAGCTTTCTTGATACAAGATTGTGACCAACCATGTTATCCAGAATTCCATCCTCGTCATACTGGATGTTTCAATTTTTAATATGTAAACCTTTCTGCTCACCTTGGAAAAAATAAAAGGAAAACTTTCCATTTAAGAACCCCATCTAGGTATCTATCTACATGTTTGAAGCTCAGGTGGAATGGTAGCTGAGGTATCATTTATCCAATTTTGTTTAAAGGATAAGGCAAAGGCAACCAATCATGGATTCATGGTAGTTCGTATGAAAAGACGTCTGCTTATTCAAACTTCATATCAACGGAAAAATATGAACTTATTCATATTTGACCTGGAATTATAATTATGGGTTCATCGGATCTGCTTCTTTGGCAGAAAAATTTGTCTGCCATACATTTTTACTAGAATCTGCATTTTGGTTTTTTTTTTTAATATTAAAATCCGCATGCAAAACCTGTTAAAAATATACCAGTGGCAGATAAAGTATTAATGCAAGATATCAGATACTTGAGTCTTATTCTTTAGTTAAAATTTTTAAGAATTATAATTTAAATAATAAATCCAAAATTAATGTCATCTTCAAATATTTTATACTCAATTTTGGGACAATTGCCGTGTTGCACTAATGGTGGTCGTTTGCCTAATTTAGGCACCATTAGTGTCATGTGGCAGTTGCGCCCATATCGATATGCATTGCGTGTAACTAATTTTGTTAGTTTCTGTAAAATATTTAAAAATGACATTAATTCTGTAATTTATTATTTAAATTATAATTTTTAAATATTTTGCCCTTATTCTTTTCATTTTTAATTTAATATAATTTTTTAATTATGTATTTACACTTTTAAATATTTTCCAAGAACAAAATTTGCTGTGAGTTTCAATCATAACATTGTGATAGTCTTATGAATTGGTTAGTTCAATAGGTCCACTAGGTCCTTTTTATACTCATTTTTCGGTAAAAAGTCTAATAGGCACCATTTCACTTTAGTGAGCATTGTGATATGGGATTTATTTATTTTCTAAAAAAATGTATAACGAGTAAATTTCTAGTTTTTTAATGAAATTTAATGGCAAAATTGTTTTAAAAATATTATAATTATATAATTTATAAAATTACAGCAATAATTAAAATTTAAAAAATTAAAAATAAATTTTTATTTAGAAATGAATTCTCTGATATAAAAAATTCATATGATTTGATTATGTAAAATATTTTATATTAAAATTTGTCAACATTAACTAAGAGAGATAGACAAAAAAAAAAAAAAATTCTTTCAAATAACCCAATTATATGAAATTTTGCCATCCCCAAATTAATAACTATCAGGGTTTTACGATAACACTACCAAGAAGTTACCTCTATTTTTTCGGTTTTAATTAATATTTGATTTGACGTATATTTCCACGTTTAGGACGTGGGCAATCCCATTATAATTATACCGTGGTCCCTTTTTTGAATGGTGGTTGAAACATTAATTAAAACTTTGATATACTTTCAGAACATTAACATTTCTTTTTCAGCAGAAATGAATATAATCAATTTAAAATGCTTATCATAATAAAAATTAGTTTATATATCAGATCAACTCATTAATACGTAAACAATTAATAACAAGTAATATTTAAATATGTGGTGCACCATTTGGTATTCTGAATTTGATTATTGTAAATAATACCCTTAGCTATTGTTTATTATACAATTAATTTGGTGCTATTGCATATAAATGCGATTATTTTTTTTTTGCATTATTTATTGTTAATTATATTATTAAAAGTTAAATTAGTTTATCAAATGCGTTCAAACAATTCATAATTGATGTACTAAATAATAATGAAGAAATTGAGAATGATCCTTAATTTTTCATTTTTGATTGAGGAATTTGAAGAAGATAAAAATATCTATAAAGCATAATGTTCTACAAACTTCATTTTCAAGCCTATTTTCTCTTACTTTAATTAGATATTTAAAAGACAATGAAGCATTCGATTGTGTGACTCTCTATTTTTACTTTTTTTTGGTGAAATTGTGTGACTCTCTTTAAAAGCATAAATATGAAGTATATTTTTTTTAAGGCTCTATTATTATATTTTTATGCAATAAGTTTTTATTTCGATTTTTATGTAAAGTAAATTTAACTTTAACGAAAAAAAAATTCCCCAGAAAAATAAGAAACAAAGATTAAAATATGATCAAATAAATCACGGAGTTAAAAGTTTTTATTATTTGTTATACATAAATTATATGTTGTATTATTCTGTTTATTTTATATTCTTGCGCAATGACAGGATCAGAAAATTTTGAAAAATGAGAGAAATGACAAGTGCATTATTCTTCGTAGCTTATAATATTTATATAATAAAAAAATATGAAGGGAAATGTGTGTTATTTTAAAGGACGTAAAGTTGTGTCATTTTAAGAAAGAGAAAGAGATAGATAAAGGAGTAGAGAGAGTTGACAAAAAAAAATAAAGTTATGGATTTCACCTTTTTGTGAGAGTGAAAAGACACAAATTATATCATTTAAAAGGATAAATATTTTTCACTAATATAAATTATGCTTGCCATTAATGATTCTTCTTATGCGACTTGCAAAGATAGAATATGGGTGTAATGGTGAGTGTCGATTATACACAGTTTTACTCTTACATTTTGTAAAAAACTTAAAACTTATTTCCCATGTTATGGTGATCTTCCAATCACAAGAAGCAACATTACTCCTACTCTAAAGTTCATCGCCAGTCAATCACTATGTATATGATTAAAAAAAAAAAAAATTATAAATGTTATGTTACTGGAAAAATGAAAGTCATTTATACACTAATAAAAACTTGTGAGTCCCACTCATTAAAAAAAATTTTAAAAAACAAAATAAAAAATCACGACAATCAGAAAGAATGTTGCTTATTTCCAAAAAAAAAAAGAAAAGAAAGAATGTTGCTTTTTTCTACAACAGAATACAAACAACACCCTTAAAAAAAATAGACAAGAAGTTCATATCTAAAGCCTAAAGACTATCTCCAAAACAAAAACAAAAAGCCTAAAGACTTGTATGAGCTCGAGGGGATTGTCCACCCTTTACCTCCCTCCACCGCTAATCTTATGATATTGGATTCTATTTTTCTCTTGTCATTGGACATAAATATTAAGGGTGGCAATATGGGTTGAACTCGACGAGTCAACCTGCCAACCCGCCAAAACGGAGCAGATTGGGTTACATATTTCAACCCATCAACCCGCCTCAACTCACCTCGTTGGATTGTGTGGGTCAAAACAGGTTGGCGACGGGTAAGGGCGGGTTGGCAGGTCAAATTTTTTATTTTTTTATTTTTTTATTTTTTACTATTAGGTAATGTTTTATTTGTTTTTAAGCTTTTGTGATATCCAATTTTTTGTTATCTTAGTACTCTCTAGAAAAAAATATAGAAGAAAAACTTTATTTATGACAAAGAAAATTTATGTATGGAGATAAAAACAAGTTTGTAAAGAATATCTGACTAAATATTAACATACAATTAGATTTAAGATTAAAAAAAACTAAGGGAAATGTGATATGAAAATAATTAATATTATAATATTAATAAAATATAATTTTTTTATTTTTTTAATTAATTTTTATTTTTTTAATTAATTTTTATTTTTTAAACGGGTTGACCCGCCAACCCACCATAAAACGGGGCGGGTTGGGGTTTTCAACCCAAATTCAAGAGGGGGGCGGCAACCACTTTTGGCGGGTTGGGAGCGGGTCGGGGCGAGCCGACCCGTTTTGCCACCCCTAATAAATTTCTCCTATCATAGACACATGATATGGTGAGACCCACCATCCATTAAAAAAAGAAAAAAGAATGATGGCACAACTTTTTATGTGAGAGAAATATGAAATAATTATCTCATATAAAATGAAATAATGATTTTCCTATTCTTAATAGGAAAAATATTTGTTTGCATATATGGCAGGAAATTTTTATCTACCACAAAGAGAAATAAGAAAATGGGATCCATTAATTATCATGTTCTCTCTTTATGAGTTTCTCTCTCTTTTTTTCTCTATGTGACAGATAAATTTTTTTTGAGGAAGGATATTCTTACTATCAAAATTTTCTATTACTAACTTACTACTTATCTAATCACCATTGAATCAAAGAGAGAGAATGCTAAAAAGTTTTTGAAAAAAGAGAAAATGTTGATCCAATGATGATTAGATAAGTAATAAGTTAGTAGTAAAAGATTTTGGTAGTAAGAATATCTCTCCTCATTTTTTTTTTTTTGCCACAAATGCAGAAGATATTTTCCCTTCTTAATAATAGGTTTTATATCACATTTTGTACTATATTCATTTTTTCCATAAAAATTATCTTTTATTATAAGCTTCTCCTTTATATAAACGTTTGTAAGCGTAAATACTTTTTTAATTTCAGATCATTACTTTTTTTTTTTTTGGTAGACCAGATCATTACCTTTATTATGCCGTGCATCTGTTTTGCTAATAGTTTTTTTTTTTTTTTTTTGGATAACATGTTTTGCTAATAGTTCTTTCAAGAAAAATAGGAACAACTTCTAGTTTGATTAAAATGGCAAATTTAATTATATACTGGAAGATAATCATTTTCTTATGATACCAATTGTTATATTTGTAGAAAAGCAAATAAATAATTTTTTGTTGATTCCTTCAATAGAAATATTTGACCTCAAATGGCGTACATCCTTCCCTAGTTTTCTAACAAAGAATGCAAATCCTAATTGAGATTCATACATATAAGGAGTTCCCCAGCTCTACTTTCCCTTGAGGAAGTTCCTGCAGATCCTTTCCCAACACTTGTTGTCTGGTTCAGCTAACTCGAATCGAAACTTCAAATCCTCCCCATATCCTTTCTGTATCACAGAAATAAAAGTTATATGACATTTTGGAGATATATAGTTGCCTTTAATATAGTTAGTAGATTTGAAATATATTAATGTTACCTTTATGGCATTCATATTGACAAGGCGATCAATCAAATCAAACAGTGTATCTTTGGTATACTCAGGATGACCTTGAATTCCAAGAATGTGATCTGCAATTGCAAACACTTCCACCCCAGTTTTGTCTGATGACGCAATAACTTCTGCACCTAGAGGAATCTCATAAACCTCATCTTGGTGTACCTCAACTATGGAGAGTGTTGCTGGCATTTCATGGCGCTCTAGGTAACTACATGGAGCTAGATCTTTCGCAAAATTCACTTGTCTTATGCCAATATCCCACCCTGTTTTTGATCTACCTACCCTTCCACCCAAAGCCCTGCATAGTACCTATAAGATCAAGGCCATTCACAAATTGTCACCAATATTATTTCATATATAATCATGAAATATATGATGTATTATATACTTGTTAGATACTAATCAGGGTCCAAATTAACTAGTCAAAAAACATACTTTAAAAATTAAATATATTTAAAGTGAAGGTGTAGAAAACATACCTGGTGACCAAAGCAAACGCCAAGAACTTTTTTCTCCATGGCATCAAGAGTTTGTAACATGAAACAAAGTTTGAGGATCCAGTAATCATTTCCATGAGCATCACTGATACTACCAGTGATGACAAACCCATCATATTTATGAAGCTCATTGAAGTCAGGGAACTCTCCCTCGTAGACTTTAAACAAATCCCATCTCTCACCTTCTTCTCCAAAAGCTTCTTTATAGAGATTGTAGTATCCACCATATACTTTCTTCACATAGTCAGAATCCTTTACTGCTTGCAGCAGAGCATATCTTCCTCCTTCGCCATTAATCACCATCGTCAAGCTAGCTGTGCTTGAAATTAAGCTGAATTGGCAGCAATAAGAACCTGTGATTTGGAATAGAGAAAGCAGAAAGAGAGAGTCAAATTGTGTGTAGCATACTAGTTTTCAGAGTAAACATGGCTTTTATAGATGCAATTGAGGCATGGACCAAAGAGTAAATCTCGGGCACTCCCGTATTAATTACTCCTTTACTAAATGGAGAAATAATTAGAACTCACCAGTTATTAATCATTGAGGAGTAGATAATAGATTAATAGGGAAATCCTAAAGAAGTTTTCGAACCATATAATGGGGAAGTTCAATGCTATGGTTCCCCGTTGGTGGGGCCACAAATGAATACAACCCCTTTGCTTGTAATTTATTGTGTAATTATAATATTGTGTAATTACGATAAGATTTTATTAATCTCATGTTAAAGGAAATAAGTTATCTTGTGTCATATAGACAAACTTGTGGACTTTCACCACCTGAAAAAATAAAAAAATGGTGGCACAATTATAGAAGGGTGTGTAAGATAAAAAATTTATTTCATGTAGCATGAAAATAATTTTTCCTTACAATAAATGCATAGATAAATCAAAATGTAGTTTAATGCTAACTAATTATTAAAATAAAACAGTAATGATTATTTTTTAAAGAAAAAATTGCCTACTCCTAGTGTAATCATCCGCGTTCTACCCAACCACGCAAAGCGTTGCGATCCGCGTTAGCTCGGCCGTTGAATGTATTCAGCAAATTTTCCTTCATCTTGCTTTTGGCAGCAACGAACAAACACGTGAAACACAATGGTATTTTTTTTATTTTATTTTTTTTGTTACAGAATCAAACGCTGATCCTGAATTACAGTTCTGAACAACATGCAAATAATAAGTTACATGACTTAAATCAATTATTGCCGGTTATTTTCTTTAATTTAAAACTATCTTATGGGTTTATTGTTTTTCGGTAGATAAAGTTATTTCCAACGGCTCCAAAATTATATTGTTTGAGGAATTGGGAGAATTAATAAAGGATATTATAAGAATTTTGATTGTTTATTTATTGGTCAGCTTACGTTTACAGTTTTTTTTTATTTACAATTCTTATAACCTCAACTATATACTCTGAGGAATACATATACTCAAGAGTGTACTCTCAAACAATTATATATATATATATGGGGTTTGCATTTGTCATTTAATATGACACAACAAATTTTTTTACACACACAATATTTTGTGGGACCCACACTTTTTGAAGAAAAAAGAAAAGAAAAGAATTATGGCACGTAAAACGAATCTCTATAACATTACACAATCATTTTTCCTACAACATAACTCTTATAAAACCCTATATATATATATATATATATATATATATATATATATATATATATATATATATATATATGGGGCAGGATCATCTTATACCGGTGTAAGAATAATAAGTCTTACATCAAATCTTAACCATTAATTGTTTGCGTCTAACAGTTAAGATTTATATTTATATATATAGGGCAGGATATTCTTACACTGGTGTAAGAGTTAGAAGTCTTATACTTATTTTTCTGTAATGAATGAAAATAAGTTATCTCCATTAAATTCAAAATGTCATTATTTTCGGATGGAAATTAATGTGTTTTTGTAATTATAATTTGGATTCATTTTTTCTAAAGTTACTCTAGAAAAATTTGTCTAATATTTACCGAACGACGTTGTTTTGAGACAAAAATCATTATGTGTTTGTAATTTTAATTTATTTCAGAATTATAATAATCTTTATCATTTTTAATCTTTCAACTTCAAAACTAAGTCGTTTTGGTGAACATTAGACAAATTTTTCTAAAATAATTTTAGAAACATTATTCCCTTATATAGGCTTTAATGTTTCTATAGTGAATGTAGATAAGTAATCTACATTCGCTCCCAAAATGATGTCGTTTTGGGTTGAAAAATAAAAAAATTATAATAAAAATGACTATTATAATCCTGAAATAAATTATAATTACAAAAATATCCTGATTTATATCTCAAAATGACGTCATTTTAGACTCAACATAAATAAATTATCTATATTGACGGTAGAAAAGCGAAGATATATTTAAATGTGAAATCGTTCATTCCCTGTCGTTTACATTCGTAATAAGAAGTGCACAGAGGGCAAAGTCGTTTTTATTCAAGGTTTGGTGATGTTCCTTTCAATACCGAGTGGGGGAGCCAGCGAGCGATGATCCCTCTGTTCACGCATATCTTTGTATGATTTTTTATTTTTTTATTTTTTTGGTAAACATATCTTTGTATGATTTAGATGTTCCTTTCAATACCGAGTGGTGGAGCCAACAAGCGATGATCTCTCCGTTCACGCATATCTTTGTATGATTTAAAAGAAGGGTTCAATGTGTTTTATATTATAGGAAATAAAAGTATATCATATATATATATATATATATAATAATAACGACTTAGAATTTTTTTTAATATCTGCACACTTAGAATAAAAGAATAAAAGAAAAAAATTTAAGAAAAAATTAAATATATTAAAATACAAAAGAATATATATAAAAAAAAACTTTAACTTCATATAAAAAAAGTAATCAATAGTCAACTAAACTGTTATAATATAATATTTTGGGTCCTCAACAAAATTACGGACCTCAATTTAATCTTCTAGAAAAAAAAATCTACTTGTGATCCCTCAGAATTCAAAAATAGACCCAGATAATCAAAATCATGGTTCTTTGAAATTCAAAAAGACCCACATTAATCTCCAAAAGAACTAACATGAGTCTATTTTGGAATTTAAAGAGATCACGAGTCGACTTTTTTTTTAAGAGATTAAATTAGATCCGATAATTTTTGTTGATGACCCAAAATATATTTTATTCTTTTTTTCTCCAAAAAATTTGTGTGTGCACTTGCACACACTAAAACATACACAGCTCCGCCACTGTATGTATGTATATATAAGTAGAGAAATTATTATTATGTTAAGAAAAAAACAAATTATATAATATTAAAAAATTGAAAAATCACATTATTCAATGAATTTAATTTGTCTTTTTCTTAACATAACAACTATTTATTTGTCATGTAACATGAAAAATGCATTTCCCATAAAAGTATACGAGGCTTGTATTTTTTTTTTCTCTTTTTTCTTCACATAAGCCTTATATATTTTTATATATATATAAAAGATAATTTTATTTCATATAATATGAAAAATATCAAACCTTTAAAAGAAAAGTAGTGTAGTATAAATTTGTTTCTCTTTATTTTTATTATTCTTTATGCATGAAAATTTTTTAAAAAGCTTTTCAAATTTAACAACATATGTGGGATTGCCCAGCATAAGTTAGAGTAAATTTTCTTTGACCCCCGGTGAAATTTTTATTTGGCTTTGCCGTTATCAATATCTCCACTCACCTCAACCTTAAATCCTTCTTTCTCGACCGCAATTATTGTTGAAGAGATCAATACTCTGTCTTCAGGGTGAAAGTGGATTGGACTGAGCCGAGTTTTGCCTAGAAAAGTCCAAATCTATGCCAAAAGTTTTTAATTTTGTCTGACCCGAGCCTAGTACGAGTCTAATTGTTAGTCTGATTTGACCCGTTTATAAAAAAATTAAATGGCCTGGCTTGATCCGTTAGCCTGTTAATTTTTAACTTCCAAACAAAATACTCAAATTCTATTGCTAAAACAAATATCACAATTTCAATGTATAAAGAACCACTTCAACCCAAAACCTTAAAGTGTTAGGTGAGGATCTTTTAATGATTTATATTATTCTCTAACACACCCCCTCACACAATAGCCCTTTGGGCTTGAATTGTAGATATTGCACAGACTCAATTTTTGGTTTACCTTTCTCTGTGCTTTTTTATTTAATTCCACAAGTAGGGGTGGAGAGGATAGAACTCGTGACCTTATGGTCACTGAAACTCTGATACCATGTAAAAAATCACTTTAACCCAAAACCTTAAGGTGTTGGGTAAGGGCCTTTTTAATGATTTATATTAATCTCTAATACATCTCCTCACATAAAATCCTTTTGGGCTTGAAATGTGGATATTGCACTGACACAATTTTTTTTTTTTGGTTTACCTTGTGCGTATTTTAATTCCACTCGAATGTGGGGGGTGGTGAGGATCGAACTCGTGATACCATGTGGTCACTGAAGCTCTGATACCATGTAAAGAACCACTTCAACCCAAAATCTTAAGGTGTTAGGTGAGGGCCTTTTTAATGATTTATATTATTCTCTAACACAATGTCCAAACAGAACCATGAATCACAACAAGACTCATCACAATCTGCATTTAAGTCACTTTCAAAAGCAAAATGCTCAAACTAAATAACATATATTTCATCAGATCCAACAAACAAATCTATACTATGTAAATTAAAATAACTACATAAATCCAACAAACACATCATGATACTTGTAGTAACCAAAAATTTCTCTTCATCTTCTCTCCCCTGCAAATACAATTCCAATATTACATAAGTTGGCAAACAGTTTGTAAATGTAGTAAACAAAAAACAAGAATAAAGAATAGAAACAAAAAAAATAAGATTAAGAAACAAAAAATCTTTTAATAGATTCATATAGGCAATCTCACATGCTGAGATATTGGTTCCTACTACATAAAAAATAAAGTCAAATTTCTATTAAAATTTAATCTAACATAATTAAATTAAAAAAAATAAATTGATTAAATTTATACCTTTTATTTTTTCTTCAAGTCATACCTATTACGTAGCCAATCTCCACCGTATATTAAAATTTAGATAGTATCTTCAGCCAAGCTAGAACGATAGGCATTAATAATGTTGATTCTGATGGTACTGTAAAGATTGGTACATAGATCTTATGTCACTCTCAAAGATAGTATTGGTGAGGAAACGAACCTAGTCATTCCACCACCTACTTAGCTCGCATGCACCAACTGAACTATTACCGTTTGGTAATACTATGAATAATTTTATTTTATTTAATTAAAATAAATAATATGATATAGGTCGGCCTGTAGGCTTATAGGCCCGACATGTAAAAAAAAGTCTATCACCTACTTTCTAAATAGGCTTTTTTAAACGCTCCGGCTTGTTCTATTTGACTATATGTCATAGGCCAGGCTTGGCCTGATATAGGCTAGGTCGTAGGCCCCTATAGGCTGTCCTGGTCCGGCCCACTTTCACCCCTAAGTGCGGGGTCGGAGTCAGATGAATCATTGTACTTGAGCTGGTAG